CTGGACAGAAAGAGCTTTAGGGCAGCAGAGAGTGTTCTGATTGGATAGGACTGCACTGAGGACTACTTATGAATAAGTGGGGTGAGATACGGTTAAAAATTTTGAAGTTTGCTGTAGCTGGTTTGCTCAGTGGTTAGAGCATTGGCCTGCATACTGACTGAAGGGTCTCGGGTTTGATTCCGGCCAAGGGCACATACCTTGGTTGCAGACTAGGGCTTGTGGGAGGCAGCCAATCGATGTGTCTCTCCCACATTGATGTTTCTCTCTCTCTCCTTTCCATTCTCTGAAAAGCAATGGAAAAAATATCCTTGGGTGAGGATTAAAAAAAAAAAAATTTGAGGTTTGATTTATAAAAAAGTACTTGCCAGACAAGTTTAGAAAAGCTGGATTAAAAAGGGTTCTTGCCCCAGCCGGTTTGGCTCAGTGGTTAGAGTGTCGGCCCACGGACTGAGGGGTCCTAGGTTCAATTCTGGCCAAGGGCATGTGCCTCAGTTGCAGGCTCGATCCCCGGCCCCGGTTGGGGCATGTGTGGGAGGCAACCAGTCCATGTGTCTCTCTCACATCAATGTTTCTTTCTCTCTCCACCCCCCTTCCACTCTCTCTGAGAAACAATGGAAAAAATATCCTCCGGTGAGGATTAAAAAAAAGAGGGGGGGTCCTTGGCTAGATTGTCTCGGTCTTTGATATACTAATATATTTCATGCCCCTCCAAGACAGAATATGGTTTATAGCCTTCCTCAAGTGCGTCTGTCTCTCTAAGATAAGCCGGAGAATCTCTTTCTAAGATTAGTGATCAATGGTCAGGTTATCTGCAGTTTTTTTTTTTCCCCTCTGTGGGGGTCAGTACTTTGGGATAGGAGTCCAGTTGCTTAGGACAATAGAGGAGAGTCTAAATGCTCTTGTCAAGCCACCAAACAGGATTAGAGAAGAAATATTTAAAGAATACTGGGTTAAAGGTCATCACACAATTAGCCTACCCAGTAGAGCCATATTTTTAGCCTGCATGGGAATTTGACTCCATTTGGCTTGATAAATATTTATTGACTATATGAAAATAGGAAGCCCTTGTAAATTCCTAAGCAACTGAGTAAAAATCAACAGTTTCAAAGATTAACCAGGTTCACTGACAGATTAGTGGGGAGAAAAAAATGATATCTTTGGCCAAAAGGAGAGGAAAATGGTACTTCCTGAAAACCCTATAAACAAGTAATAAACAAGATAGATATACTGGTGTACTGGGGGGAAATGTCTCTGGTTTATTTTTAAATGCATCAAAAATAAAATAAAAAATATTTGAAATGCATAAAAAATAACATGGGTTGATAGATGGATAGAGATAGATGATAAGTGATGAAGTGACTGCAGTAAGATATTAATGGTAGAATCTAGGAGATGGGTGTAAAATTTTTTCACCTTCACTGTTTGAAACTTTTCATAATAAAATGTTGAAGAGCCAAAGACAATGGAAGTCTAGAATATTCTGAAGGAAGAATCGGTGAGATTTAAGAGAAGCAGTGTTTATAGTAAAAAGAACTCGGGCATTGGAGTCAAATAGACCTGAGTTCTGGTTCTGGCTTGGCTGTTTGCTAGAGAGTTAAATGTATTGCTGAGTAGTGGCACGGGGACTTGAACCCATGCATCCTGCTTGGTTCTAGTGCCTTGGTCTTTACCTTGTAGTGCTGTGATGATACGAGCTCCTGGCTCAGTGCCTGGCACATGATTAGATTCTCAAGTGGTAGCTGTTGCCATTAATTAATGGACCGTCTGTGGGCTGCAGAGATGAAGTAAAGTCTAAGATTTTAATATTTGATCTGGAAGATTTGTATAACACTGTTATGCAAGCTGGAAGGTAAAACTATTTGTGGAGAAGAGATGGTTTAGTTTTGTGTTTTTTTAAGTGAAAGCAAGTTTATTGAAGGAGAGACAAAAGCTCCTGCTGCAGCTAGAGGGGTCTTGACCAAGTAGCCTGAGATGGTTTAGTTTTAGGTAAGTAGAAGTGTTACCGGGGAGATGTTAAGAAGACCTTGGTTCTCGTCTTCTTGAGGGAAAGATTTCAGTGCACGAGACAAAGAGTAGAAAAGAAAGCAAGAATTGGTTGGTCGCAGCAAAAACATACTTAGAATGGTGAAACAAGGAAGGTGCATAGAAGTTAACAGGAGAGCCCAGGCTAGGCTGCTTTGGCTCACTGGGAAGTCAGAGAGAGAGAAGGGGGCCTTTGAGACAGGTTCAGGAGGTAGGCCAGGGACGAGCTGCCTCTGCCCATTGCTCCCCTGGTTGCAAGTCTCGTGGGGTCCCCTTGAAGAGGAGAAGGAGATGGCACTGGTGTCTTCCCCGGGGGCGGGGGGAGAACTTGCATTGGGACCTTCATTTTCAGGGGTTTTAAAGGCAGGGTGTTTAGCGGGGAAATCAGGGGTGGATCAATAGAATATTCATTAGCTTTATGCTGATGTACCAAAATGAGATTTATTATACCAAAATGAGATTTATTCTCTGAATTTTGTCTGTCCTTGGGTGGGGTTGGCAAATGGCACTAATTGGATTTCTGTTATCTGTTCCCTGAGTAGGATGACTTTATCTATCCTCTAGCTGGGGAGCAGTGCAAACCATTTACTCTCAAGTGTCCTTGGTTTAGGAACGATAGGATTTACTAGGTGGCTGCAAACTGCTGTTTAACTATCTGTCTCAGTTTCCCTATTCCACTTGTCCTGGAATTTTCCTAGCTTTTACTATGCTGTAACAGAAATAGAGATTTTTATATGAACAGTTTCATATATATTCCTAAAGTTCAATAAATCACTTGCTCACCGAGTATTGAAGAGTGTTGTATGTGCTGAGCACTGCTCTAGACTAGTGAACAAAACAGACAAAAATCTCTTTTCTTATAGAGTTTTACATTCTACAAAGGTTTGGAGAATTAGGATTTTTCTATTTCCAGTTCTGAATGACTGCAAAGGTGGAAATGCAGGCATTCACCAGCAAGAGAAGGGGGGACATTAGAAGCACACCTCTGATGTCCCTGACACCATTGCCATGAAGGCAGTTATTTCCTCTGCTTTCTCTTGAGCCCATCTGTGTTCTGATTTCCTCTGCAGTTCTTTTCACTTCCATCTGGAGTTGGTGGAACAGCTTATATAAGCTATTTATGACTGTTTTAAAATGTATGTTCAGGCTTCTAAAATGGGCCAGATAGGAACAATTATAGCTGCTTTTCATAGTGTAGTCTATGAACAGAGAAGACTGAGATGAAATTCATGATATTTCACATAAAACGAGGACGTTAAGATCTACTTTCTTGTCTCATGCATGAATCCTGTAATTTAGCCAGGCTCTGACTTCAGCGCCTTTCTAGGGTGTGTATCTCTCGGCAATTACTCACTCATGCCAATAGGGTAGGAAGTCAATCAGTAACAGTATTTACTGAGCCAGACCCTCCTCTGCTTCTGAGTCATTTTCTGGTAGAGCAAAGAAGTTCTCAGGGAGGAGCTTTAACTCTTTCAGATGGCAAAGGTTACTTCTCGGTGTGATAGGGTAGCTCTCTAAGTCATCCTGTAGGGCTTATACTAATTCTTTGCTTGGTATTTTAGATAACGAGGTATATATTTAGTCTGATAGTGAGATGGAATTTGAGAAAATGTAGAAGGAAAATAATATCCACCTTGTCCCAACCTTGAGTTGTTTTAATAACGTATAGATGGCTAAGAGGTTTGCAAAATACTATGTTTGTTTTAGAAAAAAAATATTTATGACACCACCCTTCTGTGGAAATCTGACATCTGGCAGCTTCAGCCCTTTGGAAGACAGCCAGAAACTAAGAACAGGGCCTCAGAGCACATAATAAATAACTGTTGAAAAACTCTAGCACTAACACATGTATTTTACCGTCACAGAAGAGTTTGTTAGCCTCTCATTTGGAGCTTGTTTACTTTTTATTTATCTGGGAACTTTGAACAATTTTGGCCATGTATGTGTGGTCCCCCTTCCCCAGGAGATTATAAACAACAATCTAGGAAGAGGTTGGAAATGTTGACAGAGGAGATAAACTGATAGCAGAGGGAAGGCTGACATCAAAAGAGAAGGACCTAGAAGCTGTACAGTACTGGTATTATGTATTACAACACAGTACAGTAATGTATGGTCTTCATAATGAACTTGCATCCATCTGCCAAAGAATAAGTCATGTGCGGTGTCTTCTTTTGAAGAAGGCAGAGGGATACATAGTGTGTCTTTTTAAACAGGGTCCAAGTTAACCAAGTTTTGACATGTTGAAATGGTAAATTCTGTAGTGTTTATATACTTGAAACAGCACACTCTCTAGTGATGCCGTATCAGTGACACAGATTTGAGCTTGTAACTGATTATGGAAATGATGTTTAGTAATAATTGCTAACATTTATGGAGCATCTGCTGTACCAGCCCCATCCTAGGCTTTGGAAGCAGAGAGATCTGGGTTCCCAGTTCCATCTCTGACTTGCTGTTGTTGCGGAACCGGAGACGTTCACCTTATGGAAAGACCAAGGGGCACTCGGAGGCTCGGGGTTCAGGAGGTTTATTTTATGCTAGTGGGCCCAGAGGAGTCCAAGTCCAAAGTCTGAGGCCTGAACACCATCGGGCTAGGAGTTATATACCGTCCATGCTTCTGCCTACGTTGCGATAGGAGGCAGGGCTCACCTGTCTAGTTTGGCCCACGGGAAAGTGGTGGGGTGCAGGAAGGGGAAGCCCTGGGGGGAACTGTCAGCCATTTTAGACCGAGTTTTCCCTTATCACTGTGTGACCTTGGACAGATTACATCGCCTCTTTTTTTTTTTTTTTAATATATCTTTATTGATTTCAGAGAGAGGAAGCGAGAGGCGGAGAGAGAGAGAGAGAAACCTCAATGATGAGAGAGTCATTAATCGGCTGCCTCCTGCACACCCCACACTGGGGATGAAGCCCCAAACCCCGGCATGTGCTGTGACCGGGAATCGAACCGCGATCTCCTGGATCATAGGTCAAGGCTCAACCACTGAGCCACGCCCTGCCGGGCTACATCACCTCTTTGAGCCTGTGTGCTCACATATAAAATTGGGAACCAATAATATATGATAGGGTTGTTGTGAAGACTCAGTGAAGAAAGTACATAGTACAATGCATGGCACATAGTAAGTGCTCATTAAATATTAGGCATAATAATAATTATTTTATCATCATCATCATCATCCCCTTGATGATTGTTATGAAAGTATGATTATTTCCATTTTTCTGAACAAGGAAACTAAAGCCCAAAGGGTTTATTTAGGTAATATGTCCAAGGTGAAATGGCTAATCAGTAGTGGAGTTGGGATTTGAACATTGGTCTCTTTCACTCATACTTTGCATTCACATTACGCTGCCTCTTCAGCCTATGATTATAATTAGATTTTCTATTAAAGAAAGTATGTGTTAGGAGAGGGCAGAGGATGTGGGAAATGTTACTAGCCACTTCTCTTTTCCACTATAGACCCAAGTCATCTTGTTATAGAAAAATTTCCAGTAACACAAAGATGATAAGTTTCACTCAGCAGTACAAATTAAATATGAAATGTTTAATTGTGTTGTAAAATATATATTATGCAAGATTCATTAAAATCTTAGCACTCTGCATTAATATAGTGAACTATTTATCACATGCCTAACATGTTTGTCTGTATCATTTTTTTAGATTATAAACTTAACAGAGCTATAACCATCTTTTTTTTTTAATCGGGCACTTAGTGCTTTTTTATGTGATTATAGTTATATGTGAGATGAAAGTTAGAATCCTCATCTCTGCCAACACCAAATGAATACTTGATAATTAAAGAAAGAAAGAAAAATAGACTTGGGGCCTGGACACTCTGGAGGTCTTCAGCTACTCCTTGTAAAAGACCTAGGGAGAAATAAATGTAGCTAATCAGGGCTGATTGTTTACAGGTGGGCATTTGCCCTCTATGTATTTATTTCCTCCATTTCTGTTGCTTAAACATGTACTTAGGCTCCCTGGCCACACATGTCAAAGTCATGGACACATCATCTTGTTATAGCACAGACACCATAGCAGTGCACTGATACTATGCAAGGTTGGGCCATGCATGTCTTTGAACTGAAAACACATTCTTGAGCTGGTCTAATGTACAAAATCTTGTCTGGAGTTGCCTTGCACATAACCCGTTCTTTGTTCTTTTAATGAATTTTTATTTTTTCAGTATGTTTGAAATCTCAGCTGCTGAGGCTCTCCTGCTGCTGTTCTTTACGCCACGTTACTTTTTTTCTTTTGCAGACACCATCTCTGTAGGTAGGAGCCAGGATGCCCTCAGTCTGAATCCTGGCCCTGCTGCTATGAACTAACTCTGTGAGCTTGGACAAATTAAGTTTTCTAACTTGCTGAGCCTCAATATTCTAATTTTTAAGATGGTTATGGGGAATAAATGATATGCCATATTTAAAATCCCTACTTTTTAAACATCGTATTTTTAAAATACTCTGTTTGCCTGGTACTTGAAAAATGTTAATTTCCTTACTGCCCTCTTCAGTATATTGAAAAGTCTGTATTTCCCCACTTGTATCTTTTCTATCACTCACAGGTATAGGTCACTTTTTTTTTTTTCAATTCCAGAATGACTTTGAGAATCAAATGAAAAATGTATCAGGGAATTACTATTTTAAAAGAAATAAATGAGACTACTTTGATATTTTTAAGTATAAACTTTTTATTTGCTTAGCTTTGACTTTGCTATAAGTATCTTTATAGCTTAAGCTTTATCATTCTCAAGATATAGATCTCTATTACCATGTCTTAAATACTTATGCTTTCCCATTTATTTCGACTCTTCTCTCCAGGTTATAAAACATGGAGGCTGGCTCAGTGGTTCGAGCCATCTTTGACTTCTGCCCTAGTGTCTCAGAGGAGCTGCCACTCTTTGTGGGAGATATTATTGAGGTGTTGGCAGTGGTGGATGAATTTTGGCTTCTAGGAAAGAAAGAGGATGTCACAGGTAAGAAGTTCATAATTCTTCATGTACAAAATGGACCACAAGCCCTCCCTTCTTTCCATATTAAAAATAAAGATTAAATGAGAGGCCCAAGTCCATAAACTTCAGAATCCTTTTGTTTTCCATATGTATTTAATCTGATTTCTGCCAGCAAGGAGAGAATGTCTGTTAGTATTCCATCTCTCCTTACTGGCTTCTTCAGAAGGTTGAAATGGTCAGTCAGATACCTGCTGCCCCCAGCCCAGTTTTCTGTTTTCTTTCTCATCACTTCCCAGCATTAATATTTTTCTTCTGAAAATATGCATTATCCCTCTTTTTAGAACTCCCCTCTTGTTTGCCTTTTTTTTTTTACTACCAGCTTTTATCTGATTTATGGAACATAGGGCTTCTCCACCTTGTTTTCTCTGGCTGTCCTCTTAACGTTTTCCAACCTTTCTTTCATTCTTTTAAAGGGAGCTGATGCACCCTGTCCACGTCTTCCTAGATCCGTGGTTCGCCCAAATTTATTAAAGCTATCTTTTCCCCTAGATGCGCCTACCTCCCATTTTCCACACACCTGGTTTCTTCTCTTTTGTTCTTTAAAATATATGTTAGCACCAGTTTCTTTGACTAATTAGCATAGGGAAAGGAGGAAGTTTTTCCCCCCACTATGCCCCTGTCTTAAATCCAATCCTTAACTTACTTGCATATGTTTATGTAAGTCTGGGTTGGAATATGTTATACAGTCCTTAGAACAGATTCTGTTGACACCCCACATTTGGTAAATAATCAGTTATTTCCTAGTAGAAATGACATCTCAGCTGAGACAGAAGTGATGAGTAGGAGCTAGCCAGGCAAAGAGGACAGGCAGAGAGAATTGCTTGTTCAAAGGCCCTAGAACAGGGAGAGCACTGAGGGACTGAGGGAAGTTCAGTATGGCATGAAGTGTGAGTGGCTGAAGAGGGGGATGGTGCCCAAAGATGAACAGAAGTTATCTCATGGAGGACAGTGTGCGCCATGGTAAGGAGTCATGGAAACCATTAAAGTGCTTTAAGATTGTTATCAGATTTTTAGGGGCTGCGCTGCCCCAATGAGGAGACCCAGAGAGACCCTGGGGTGGGTGACACTGCTGGGGCCTCCACCTTGATTTCTACAACCAAGTCCAGAACTTCTGACCTGGAAAGTACATATTTTTAAAGACTGGAAACTGGCGGAATGATAGAAGCATCTATGAATGATCTTAGTACTGCTTTCATATGGAGCTTACCGAAAGTACAAGTTTAGCTTGTTTGAAGTTGCTCAGAGGTAGAAGATGGTATAGGGGGGATAAATGGTGATGGAAAGACACTTGACTTGGGGTGGTGAGCACACAATACAATATACAGATGATGTATTATAGAATTGCATACCTGAAACTTATATAATTTTATTAACCAATGTCACCCCAATAAATCAAATTAAAAAATAAAATAATCTGAACCCTTAAAAAAAAAGAAGTTGCTCATTTTACTTTGTTCTTTGGCAAAGCTGGGTCTAGTGTGCCTGTTGTAAGTGGTAGACTTTCACAGTTAAAGTCTTAACTTCCATCAAGGAATAAAACTGCCCTTGCAGAAATTTTCAGGTCCTTTTTGTTATGCCTAAATTGCTCTTAGAGTCCAGTATTTCTTTTAATTATTTATAGAAAGAGTCTATGTCTATTGCTGAGTTATTGGAAACTGTACTATGTGCTTCAATAATTGTATTAAGTTGCACAATAGCAGTGTGACATTAATATGCAGGGGAGTAAATATCTGAGGTCTCAGATGACTTCAATGCCTTTGTAATAAAATAAACTTTCTCAGGGTAAAAGCTGTCTCATGAATTGTGATACTCATTATGAGGGTTTTAATGTCCCTTCATTGGATGGAGTGCTTTGTAATTTTAATTTTTAAATGGTGTTTGGGATCCTTGGAACATCTAAATAAAGAATTATTAATGGCCTTAGCCAGTTTGGCTCAGTGGTTAGAGCATCGGCCCACAGACTGAAGGGTCCAAGGTTTGATTCCCACCAAGGGCATGTACCTCTGTTGCAGGCTTGATCCCCGGCCCTGGGATGTGTGCAGGAGGCAACCAATTGATGTGTCTCTCTCACATCGATGTTTTTCCCCCGTCCCCCACCCCCACTCTCTCTGAAAAGCAATGGAAAAAATATCCTTGGGTGAGGTTAAAAAAAAAAAAAAAGAATTATTAATGATTTAAAAATGATTTTTATCAGATTTTTAGAAAGCTCACAGCTGCAAATTGAAGGATGATAGGAAGGGGCAAAACCGAAGGCAGGGAGGCGGAATGGGTGGTTGAAGTAATCTAGGTGAAGGATGCTGATGGCTTGGACAAAGGTGGTGGGCCTGGAGGTAAGTGGACAGATACCAGAGATATTTAGAAGATGGAATCAATTAAAGCTTCTGATGCTTTTCAACTGACAGGCCTTGTCTCTCTACCACTACCTATATCAAAACCCTACCCATCTTTAGACCCAAATTTTATCTTTTTCATAAAATTTTTCATATTCTTCCTGACCCATTCTCTCTCTTAGAAATCCCATAGCAATTGGTGTACCTATATTGTGACACTGGATTTTGGAATTGGATTTTTGTTTATATCTGAACTAGATTTTGTTTGAACTCGATTTTTAGATCTTTGAGGGCCAAGACTGTCTTACTCACTTTTCCCTCTGCAGTGCGCCTTACATAGAGCGATACCCAGTAAATGCTTATTGGATTGAATTGTATTCTTAGTGAGTTTTTAATTGGGCCCTATAAATGGGCCCAGAAAAAAGTTTTTTGTCCTGGTGTACAGACATAAAAAGAAATTTCAGTATCAGAAATGTTTGCTTTTATTTTCAGGACAGTTCCCCAGTAGTTTTGTGGAAATTGTCACCATTCCCAGCCTGAAGGAGGGAGAGAGGCTGTTTGTCTGTATCTGTGAATTTGCATCCCAAGAGCTGAACAGTCTTCCCCTCCATCGAGGTAAGTTGATCATCACGAGTAGACTGTTTAAAACTAGGTCAGTGGAGTTGGTCCATTTAACAACTAGATCTTTTTTTGAAATTTTTGTAAGTGGCTAACCTCTAGAACGTCTTCAGCAATACAAAGACAGTGCTGACAATGCCAGTGCCTTATATTTTAGCAGCATTTTACAATTTCCACAGTTTTTTTTCACAAATACATTCTTACTTGGTCCTCAACACAGACCTGGGAGGTAGCAAAGTGGGTACTACTGACTGCATTTAATAAATGATGAAAATGAGATTCAGACAACGTTACCTGCAGATGAGAAGTTTTCGCCTCAGAATGTGAAGTCTCATCACTGGATTACAAGTCCAGGATTGTTTTGCACTGCCCCATGCTGTGGCTATACTTCAGACTGCATTTACCTTTTTTCTCATAAAAACTGATATGGCTTTGCTAACCACATTGCTACTTATTAATGCATAATAGTGGGGTGGGAATTGTGATATAGAAATTAAGAGACAGATGTAAAATAGCCCCATTTTACTATTCTACATTAGGTGATGTTATTAAAGTTCTCATCAGAACCAGTTTAAAAGGAAGCAGTTTAAAATGGATAGCCATAGCCAGGCGTCAATGAAATCCCAAGTACTTCTCACTTGTGCTCTGATAGACATGTGAACTCCTGAAGATGGACCATAAACTGTTTCAACAAGTATACTTGATGAAGTCCATGCATTTCTGCACAGGCACAGACACCGGTAGTGTTCTGGAAACTGACAATCAGTGCAATTTTGTGATGACTCAGAGAACGGTTTCAAAATGGTAGAATTTGAGAAGAAAGGAATATTAGATTTTGACTTTAATCTCAAAATCTATTTTGAGAGTTTCTTGCACTTCACTTTACATTGAGACTCTGCCTGTGTTCTGTGTACTTCCTTTCTAATCAGTGTTGGGAAGGCAGGCAGAAATAGATGTTATAGCAGGGAGCCTTAGCTGTCCCTACTCACCTCCCACTGGAGGGCTGTAACCCATGTCAGGGAGTCAGAGGCTGTGGAGAAACGGCTTCCTCCAGAGCTGTGCAGAGGATGTGCATGGCGTGGACTTGTCCTTTCCCACGCCTGGCTCCTGGAGCAAATAGCTATAAGAATATACTATGTGGGAATATACAGTATGTCTGCATCTGAGGAATTTGAGGGCGTGGCTTCTGGAAGTAGCTTCTTTGCTTCATAATTACATCTTATACAATCAAGTCTTAGGTACCAAAAAGAGATTTTCTGATGAATGCCTTCCATGGGAAGACTAGTCTGATGTGTTCTGAAAGTCCTTTGAAGTTAAAATGCACCTCAGGAATCCCAGATTCTCAGGAAGACCCTGGGGTGAGTCACCTGTATGGAGGTCCTGTTGGGTCCTAGAATCTGCCGATCTTATTTTAACTAGCTTTTTTTTTCCCTTTTATTTAAAAAAATTTTTATTTTACCTTTATTGTTGAAAGTATTACAGATTCCCCCCCCCCTTTCTCCCTCATTGATCCCCTTAACTAGCTTTTAACCAATTAAGCCTAATGAGTTGAAAGATGTCAGTAGAGCCCAAGGGAGGAAGATACAGGGCAGGGGGGATACAGGGAAAGGAGAGTTATCAGTGGTTTTATCTTGCCCTCTTCTCCGATGCTCTGCTGCCAGTAAACACACTGACTATTCAGCCCGTTCCTTCTGTGCTTTCTACACCTTATATGTTTTCCGATCGGAGCACACAAGCCTTCGAGGGTGGGGACGTTAGGTGTACCTCTGCAGTTTGTCTTTCTCTGGGATGTGTAGCATGAGGCGAAGCAGTGATTTTCATTTCTCTTGTTTTCTATACATGACTGTCCACATTAACAGGTATTATTAATTTTAGTAGTTGGAAACAAAATTGCTAAAAACTGAAAGTACTGTTTTATACCACATATAGCTTATAAGACTCGAGTCTAGACTTCCTGACTTTCAAGGCTAGTGCTTGGAATGGCCCTTGTACTTAGACTGAAAATTGCTTTTCCCATTGGATCAGCATCTCAGCTCCTGAACAGCTCCATTCCTCTACCCCTGTGCTCTAGTTTACTAATCCTGCTGTTCCTTTATTGTTTCTTAGTACCTTCTGTATAGCAGTGAAGCTCCCCTTGTTCAGTGAAAATGAAACTGGTGACTTAATATATGTAAGGAGGAGCATGTGGGATAATGTTTGAGATCTGTTTTGTTTTATCATAATGACTTGAGTTAATTATTTACTTATCTTTCAGAAATATTATTGGGATTCATAAGAGGAAAAATTACATTTTTTAATTATAAAATTATATCATATAAAAATTGTATCTACATATAATTATATGTATGTATTTAAGGCAGACAGTATAGCTTAGGGGATGAGAATTCTGACATCCCTAGATTTAAATCCATTTCTACAACTTAATAGCTGTGACTTTGGGCTACTGACTGAAGTTCTCTTGACTTCAGTTTCCTTGTCTATAAAATTGGGATAATACCTACCCTGGGGTAGTTGTGAGGATTAAGTGAGGTTATACAGGTAAAGCCTCTTGCACCGGTAAACACTTACTAAAGATGAGGTATTTTGATGATTCTTAACCTGGGATTCCTGGAATTTATAGATGTGCTTCGGGGACCTTGTTTCCCAGTAAACAGGTGAAGTTTTGTGTGCATGTGCATTTTTCCAGGGAGATTCTAACTGGAGTCAGAACCCCAAAGGTTCTTCCAGTAGGTGTCACCCTTTTTCCTTTTCCAGAAGCTATCCGATTGTTTGGGACTGTTCTCTATATTTTGAGTTATATTTAAACTCAGCAACAAGGCTATCTCTTAGAAGGATCAATGTAGCCAGGGTCACTGACTGTCCTAAAAAATAAGGAGAGGCGGGGGGAAAAAAGAGAGACCCCCCCCCCCCATAACAATCAGAGTTACATGGAAAAGATAAAGAAAAGAGAAAAAAAAATTAGGAGAGATGAAATATCAGTAATCATTGCCCTACATAACACAGAATGCGTCTCCTTTGCCTAAAACTTCATATTTCTAGCCCACTTCCTCACCCCCAAAAAAGGACCAATAAAAAATAAACATCAATTTATTTATAAATAAGTTGATAAATGATCATTTAGCAGCCACATCTGCAATGTGAGATATCAGGATTAAGGTTCTGATATGGCTCATAGGTAAACCTAAGTAAAATATATGGTTAATCCACATAAAGCACACAGTCCCCTGGGCATTAGGATGCAGTGGGAGACCTAACACTCAGAGTCCGACTACTTATATTCAGATTCTAAGAAGACTTGCATTTGTTCTTATCACCTTTCTTGTTCAACAAAACAGTCCAGCCAGCAGTGTTGCACCTGGGGTTAACAGCATGAGCGAAAGGCTCAGGCTGGCTACGAGTCACCACACTTCCTATTTTTTGATCCTTGAAATCTGGTCACTGTACTCTGGGAGTTCCTCATCCTGTTGTTTCAGAAGTCTAGAAATGACCACCATGCAGCCTCCATTCCTAAGGAATCACCTAAGATGCCGGGGGAATAGCTGCAGGGCTCTTTTGGATGACAGTGAGATACTCATGCAAAAGATTCAGTAAACAGGACTGTCAAATAAGGGTGTTGAGCACTTATCAATGCTTTTCAGGATCTAAATGGTGATTTTTAAAAAATTTACCTTTATTATATAGAATGACCATCTACCAGGTAATAAAGCTTAGCAAAAATAGTCACCCAGCTGAAAATAGGAAACAAGGCTTGTTATAAGCGTCTCATGGAGATCTGGCAAAACAAGGAAAATATTGTAATTCTACAGCTTTAAGAAATCCAGTTCACTTCAAAGCCAGTGGAGTAGGAGGTATGGCACGCTTTTATTGTTCTTACCCACCAAAAGGCCTGTTGTGTCTGAACAGCCACGTCTATAGTGAGTTCCCCTGTGGTCCTGATGGAATGGCCTTAGAGTCAGTGGGGAGAAAATCACTTGTAATTCTCAGGACCACAAGCTCTGGCCAGTGGACACTGAATCATAAATTAAAGGAATATAGAAATATAGGACCAAGACACTATTTTTCAGGTACATCTAAGCAAAACAGTATCGAATCAGTGAAAATGTATTGGGTACCTATCACTAAGTGCAATATTTTACAGTAGGGGCTATGTAGTATATAAAAACACAAGTGTCAAAATTAGCAATATAAGTGATCATTCTTTTAGTAGGCTCCAGATGGCCAAGATGAATGTGGGCTCCTAGGTTTTTTAGAGTGGCATGTTAAGGTTTCAGATGAAGAAACTTGTATAGGAGACGAGAGTCCCCTCCTGTGGAATAGGGTCTCATAGGTGACATAATATCGGTAGCTGGGGATGGGGGCAGGGATATTATGACTGGATATAAATGCCAAGTTACACTGAGGCAAAAACACGTAGCTTAGTAACTAAACCTCTTTAGAGAGTATCCAGAGCAAACTTATTTTTTATATATTTCAGGTAGTAAGAGTAGGATTATTAGAGAAGGAGCCTTTAGCAGTAGGAAGAAGCCTTCATGTCTCCGGGTAAAAGTTGGAGCAGGGGAGCGATATGGTAAAATTGGTATAGTTGTAATCTTAGGCATGAGTCATTGGGTAAACGGGAAGAGACAGTGTGTAAGGAGTGAGATGATGGGAGTTGGACTAAGGGGGTAGCAAAGAGCAAGTAATGAATGGAATAAATATTTTGAAAGAAGAAACTAGAGGGAAAAAGGAAGTTAGCAGCATGGAGCTCATTTTGGAGGGAAGGTATAATTCATTTATTTGAGAATTGGAATTGAAGAATCATCATTAACAAATGGACAATGAGTGCTTGCTATGGGAAAGGCACATGCCAGGCTCTTAACATACAAAAGAGAAGTGGTACCTGACATTAAGGAATCTATAATTCACCTGATAGGAAGATGGGACAGACTTAGTTTTTTTAAAAAAATCAAGAGTAGACGCATTGATAACCTAAAAGATAATCCAATTTTCAAATATGCTTGACTATAAAATGACTCGGGATTTTACTGGGTGCTTTGCTCTTCTTCTAGTCTTATTTGATTTGGGCCAGTTGCATTGCATTTCTTGATCACCTCTAGTCATGAAAGTAAAGTTGACTTAGGTGTCAAATAAGAGGAAAGTTAAAATAAGATTAAAACTGATAATCTACAAAATGAATAGTTCATAATTAGATAATTAAAAGTTTGTTATAAAATAATTTATTGCAAAACTCTAGAGTAATTTTTTAACTGGAGTGAGTCTTTTAAAACTGAACTTTAATTTCATTTTTTCCAGAAACAAACGCTGTCTCTATGCTTCCTTTACCTCAAGTTTTCCAACTGTAAGACAGATGCTAACTTGCAGCTTATATTTTATCAAGATAATCTGAAACACCAATATTGGAACTATAAGTTATTTTCAAAAACAAAAGTTCTGATTACTAGAACATTGTTTTAAGATTTTATTATGATGTATTTTCAGGATACGTATAGTTCAAGAAGGCCCCTGGAGATAATAAATGAAGGGTTTATTGCCCATACCCTCTACTCTACCTCCAACAAAGAACCTTTTTCTGGAGATTTCTTCTTTTGCTCTATATTTCATATTGAATATAATTTAGTGTGAGAAATTAGATCCATTTATTCAAAGGACTATAGTGTACATGAATGTAGTCTTTATAATTTATAAATTAATCCAGTGGCACAGACTGTGAGAACATTGTTTATATTAGCTTTTCTCAAACTTTTTGATCTTGGGATTCCTTTATTCTCTTAAGAGTTATCGAGACCCTAAAGAGCTTTTGCTTATGTGGGCATATTGGTATTTTACCATATTAGCTATAAAAACAGAAATTTTAAAAATATTTATTAATTTATTTTTTTTTAACCCATGACATATTAACATAAATAGCATATTTTTATCAAAAATAACTAGTTTTCTAAACAATGAACATTTGGTTTTATACTTTTTGCAAATCTCTTTAATATTTAGTGAAAGAGCCTGGCCGGGCATGGCTCAGTGGTTAAGCATGGACCTAGGATCCAGGAGATAGAGGTTCGATTCCCGGTCAGGGCACATATCTGGGTTGTGGGCCCAATCCCCAGTTTGGGGCGTGCAGGAGGCAGCCGATCAGTGACAACTCTCTCATCACTGATGTTTCAACTCTCTGTCTCCCTTCCTCTCTCTGAAATCAATAAAGATATATTTAAAAATATATATATTTAATGAAAGAAAGCTGGATTCTCATATTTGTATCTGTTTTCAATCTGCTGCAGTATGTTGTTTTGACTGAAGTATATGAAGAAAATATGGTCAACCTTCCAGACCTTCTGAAAGGGTCCCACGGACCACACTTTGAAAACCATTGGTTTGCCTAGCTGGCATGGCTCAGAGGTTGAGCATTGACCTATGACCCAGGAGATCGAGATTTGATTCCTGGTCAGGGCACATGGCCAGGTTGCAGGCTTGATCCCCAGTAGGGGGTGTGCAGGAGGCAGCTGATCAGTGACTCTCTCTCATCACTGTTTCTATCTCTCTCTCCCTCTCCCTTCCTCTCTCTGAAATCAATAAAGACATATAGATAGACAGACAGACAGACAGACAGACAGACAGATAGATAGATAGATAGATAGATAAAAAGAATCATTTGAAAACCATTGGTTTACAGAAATTTTCAGTACATTGTCACTAAATTGTCAAAATTCACTAAATTGTCAAAAGTGTTCATTCCTTAAAACTCTAGGTATATGTTTCCTTGAATTTGGTAGATGTTTAAAATGATGATTTGTACTATTACTTCTGGGGTGATGACCAGGGTCATTATCTTTGCTTCTCTTTTTCTAGGTGACCTAGTGATTCTCGATGGCGCTCCCACGGCCGGCTGGCTGCAAGGCCGAAGCTGCTGGGGTACCCGGGGCTGCTTCCCATCCTCGTGTGTTCGGGAGCTCTGCCTGTCCTCACAGAGCCGGCAGTGGCACTCGCAGAGTGCCCAGCTCCAGATTCCTGACTATTCGATGGGACAAGCCCGGGCACTGATGGGGCTTTCTGCCCAGCTGGATGAGGAGCTGGACTTCAGAGAAGGGGATGTGATTACCATTATCGGAGTTCCTGAACCAGGCTGGTTTGAAGGGGAGCTAGAGGGTCGAAGAGGCATTTTTCCAGAAGGTTTTGTAGAGCTTCTGGGGCCCCTGAGGACTGTGGATGAGTCCGTAAGCTCTGGAAATCACAGTGACTGCCTTGTGAACAGTGAAGTAGATACCCCTGCGGGAGAAGACAGAGGGTCCGCAGAGGAGAACGAGCCCGCAGGGACCTACGGAATTGCCCTCTACAGATTCCAAGCCCTGGAGCCGAATGAGTTGGATTTTGAGGTGGGCGATAAGATCCGAATTCTGGGGACTCTGGAAGATGGCTGGCTAGAAGGATCACTGAAGGGCAGGACAGGCATCTTTCCTTACCGGTTTGTAAAGTTATGTCCGAAAACAGAGGCGGAGGAAACCGTGGACCTGCCACAGGAAAGCAGCCTCACCAGGGTCCCTGAAACGTCTTTGGATTGCTCAGAGAACTCCTTAGTACTGGAGGAAAAAGGACACGAATCTCATGAGTATGAAGCAGAGAAGTCCAACTGTATTATTTCGGAAACATCTGCTTCTCCCTCAGGTCACCTGGTGTCTAAATATGAAGCAAGCATAATCTCTCACTGGGATGAGGGCACCTCTAGGGGGCTGCCGAGAAGCCCCGGCGCAGGGCATGAGCAGCCTCTTGCCAATGACTCCTCCACCAAGGATCCTTCAGAGGTAGTCAATGGTGTTTCCTCCCAGCCTCACGGACCTTTCCCTCCCCAACTGCAGAAAAACCAGTATTATTCTAGAGCAGGAGGGAGCCACCCAGGCTCAGAGCATTTCTCTGATCCTTTTCCTCTAGAAGCAAGGACTAGAGACTATTCCAGCCTGCCCTCCAGAAAAACATGCTCCCAGCCTAGAACCCTGATGAAGCTAGAGTCTCCCCTTTGCAGCGGCTCTTCTCTTTCAGCCTCTAGGGTGGTCAGACCCAGCCAGTTGAGCCCTCAGCTCCAGGGTGTGGCAAGGTGTACCAAAAAGTACCACACACCCAAAGAAAAAAGTGCTTCCCACTTTTGTTCAGAGAGGAAGCCTGGTCTGCAAGACACAGTTCCCGCCATGGAAGCATTGACCCTTCCGCAGGGAGACGGCAGCGTTGACCTGGACTCGAAGTTGACACAACAGCTGATAGAGTTTGAGAAGAGTCTGTCAGGGTCTAGCACAGAACCAGAGAAAATTTTGCGCCACTTTTCAATCATGGACTTCAGCTCTGAGAAGGATATTGTCCGAGGTTCCTCAAAGCTAAGCCCCCAGCAGGAGCTGCCTGAGAGGAGAAAGGCCCTAAGGCCACCGCCACCCCGACCCTGTACTCCAGTATCCACTTCTCCCCATTTGCTGGGGCTCCAGAACCTGAAACCTGAGCTGCCCTTGGCAGTGCGGCCCTCTCGCCCAGCTCCCCTGCCTCCCTCAGCTCAGCAGAGAATGAGTGTGGGACCCCCCAAGCTCCTGACCTGTCACCGTCCTAGCTGCGAGACCCTAGAAAAGGACGCCCCTGAGAGTACGGGAAGGACTTTGGACCAAACTTCCCAGTGCCCATTGGTATTGGTGAGAATTCAGGAGGTGGAACGGGAGTTGGATATGTATAGCAGGGCTCAGGAAGAGCTCAGTCTAATGCTGGAGAAGCAAGAGGAATCCTTAAGGGCAGAGACCCTTGAGAATCTTGAGTTCTACGAGGGCAACATCGAAAGTTTGAATATGGAACTCCAGCAACTTCGAGGTAAGGGATGAGGGAATAATATATACTTATTTCTTAACACCCATAAGTTCAAGTAGCAGCCTATCCATGTTTTTTAGGAATATTTTACCATCTTTGATCAACAATTAAAGAATGATTTCCTTTTTCGTTACCTAATTTCTCCTATCACCACAATTAGACTGCTCCATCTCAATGTAGCCTATGTATCCTGTGACCACTGAGGCCTCCTGATTTTGTTTGCAACTCAGGAAAGGAAGCTCAAACCTCAGTGACATTCATACTTCCTATACTGCTGTGACATCCATAGCAGTCATGCAGATGGGAAGTCCCCAAATATAACTTCCTTTAATTTGGCTCTACTAATGGACTGAAGACGTCTAGGCTAAGACTCGAGGAAACTGCATCTTGTATCTTTGTGGTCTAGGGACTAGATTTCAATAATAATAATAACTTTTATTAACTTATTAATAAGCATTTGTTACCATTTACTTACACAAAGAATCTTCACAGCCACCCTGAAGGTACTGGGATAATTCATATGGCTACTTTATAGATAGTGAAATTAAAAGCTGTAGAGGATAAGTCACTTGCCAGGGAGCAAGTCTACTGAGAAGACGGATATTGTGTATTAGTCAGTGGGCCATTTCCACACACCCGGTATAGTATTCTACAGGCAGCAGATTGATTAAATACTTGATGAATTGAATTGAAGTTGCCTGCTCTACCTCCTAGAGCTTTCAAAGACTTCCTACCTCTATTGTTACTTTGAACTTGGATTACTAGGGGGCTGGGGACTGTCAGAGCAGAGATGTCAGTGAGGCATAGTTAATGGGTAGCAAAATAGTCCAGTTCTGTGCCAGACTCAAAATGAAGTTCTTTATCATAGCTGTTTCTCCTCTCACCTTTCCCCCCTCCCCCTCCTTCTCCTTCAAATAAGAAAATGTATAGACAAATGCCTAACTATGACTTATCACATGGTAGGCATTTAATAGAGGAGTCTGAGAAATTAAAAGAAATTACTAAGAAGCACTTCTAATTTTAAGACATAAGTATAAGTAGGAATCTTATAAGTATCTAAGTATCTAAGTATAAGTTAGATCAACAGGGAATAAATACATAGAATAAATTAAGTATGGCATGATATACAGATTTTCATACTAGTTCACACCTATATAGCATTTATACCATTCTTCATATTGCTCCTTAAGACTCTGGAATTACGAAGTCATGAGGATTCATTTCCTAGAAGCTCTATTTTTTTTTTCAAGTCTGATGTTACCTTTTATAGTTTCCTGTAGATACCTTTCAGCTTGTTTTTAATTTTCTTCACATAAGGTAATAGTCTGTGTATGATAATTCTAAGATATAATTCTCAGTGGGACTGTTTTTGGAAATCAACTACAGTCCTTCACTCTACCAGTGAACTATCAAAGGAACAATAGAACTATTTTTGATGCCATATGGTTCTCATTAGTGTGGTCTAGACTCCCTGTGTGTTTGACTATCTTTTACTGTGTGCTAGTCATAGTATTTGGAAAATCTTAAGACCTGAGAGGAAGGCACCTCACTCCAGAGAAGATTTGCGTTTGTTTCTTTCAGCTGTTTGTGCTCAGCTATTTCCAAATTCCCAAAGGATAGTAATCTTTGGGGTTCAGGAACAAGAAATTGGAATTCCTGATAATACCTAAAATTATAAATTATTCTGTATTTTTAAAAACTCTTTATTTACATGTTCTTAAATGATAATGGTAGTTACCGTAATAAACAGTGAATAATTTTTCTGTGTACTAAAAGTTTTAGAGATTTTATATATTATATATATGAGAAATACATGAAATAAATGCAGTTTATTATTATTATGAACCAAAATATCATGACAAGGTTATATATTTTAATGACATGTAAAATTGTTCTTTTTCTGATAATAGACTTTACAAATGCTTTTTATTTATTATTTTAAAGTAATTTTAAATTTACAGAAAAGTTGCAAAAGTAGTAGTTTCCATATACCCTTCAGTGAGCTTCCCCTAATCCTAGCATCTTACATAGTTATAAAATATTTATCAAAATCAAAAAATTAACATAATAGACATTTAATAATATAAAACATTTTAAAGAAGGGAACATTAACACAAAATAATTGTTAAATAAAAATTATTTTAAAATTACAAAATAATATCACAAATATTTGGTATCTAAAAGTTATACTTAAAATAAAATGTTACATACACAAGGCATTAGTTGCCCTATCTGATGGTATTGCTCTTTGTTTTGTGACTAATATTCCAGATATAGAAAAAAGTTTTCATTTTGCATGGATATTGGGTGAATTATTGAGTGTATCCAAAAGCATCTTCAGGTGGGGCCATTAGGGTACATGTTGCTTCATATAAAGTCATTTTCTTTTCTTTTTTAATATATCTTTATTGATTTCAGAGAGAGGAAAGGAGAGGGAGAGAGAGAGACAGAAACATCAATGATGAGAGAGTCATTGATCGAGCCCGCAACCCGGGCATGTGCCCTGACCGGGAATCGAACCCCGATCGCCTGGATCCCAGGTCGACGCTCAACCGCTGAGCCACGCCCGGCCAGGCTCATTTTCGTTTTTAACAATGAAAATATTTTGTCTACTTACTCTGATTTTGGCTTTGCCATTGAAATAGATATTGTTTTTGCTGATTCAAATTTTAGGCAATAAATTTGTGACAATATTCACATCTTCTCTTTGCATTTCTACTTTTAAAATATTTACAAAGAACTGTAACCTACAGCAAATAAACACTGGAAAACACTGGGCAAACATTTGTGGGTGGCATTCAAATAATGGAACATTTGCTTCTCTGAGCAAGATTTAACACTACACTGAATCATGTGTGAGAACTGCCAATGTAAGGCCTTATTTTGCTTCTAAAACTTGATATTCTTGGACCATTGCTTACAAGGTTTATAAAATATACTGTGAAAATAAGCTTATTAATATTTATCTTATTTGCAAGAATGACTCACTGTTAACACTTCCGTAACATAGCAACAGCTACAAGCAAAACTAACTGATTAGATTTTGATGACTTCTCTCCTATGTACTCTTGTCCCGGTGAACCTTAATCTTTTACTCTGTGTCAGTATTTTCTGATCTTGCTTCCCACTTAACATCTGTGGATTCTTTCAAACCAGTAATATCTCTACACTTTATTGTTAAGCTTTATTTTCACAGGAGTATTAGAGTATTTTCTCTGGGTTTCCAGATTTCTCAGCTGATTCTTCTTAGGATTCATAAAAGACATAAATTTCCCAAGAAATGCCGAGAAGGGATTCCCACATGGAAACACTAGTCATTCTCAGTCCAGTTTCACCTTAACCTGATTTCAGGGTTTAAAGTATCTTGAACGACTAGGGACCCCCAGCTGTAATTTTGCAAGAGGGCTGGTCCAGTTCTGATTTACTCTCAGGAGTCCTTTGGAATGTTAGCTTATCACATTAAAGGTCTCCTTTTAGACTCCTCACCTTGCAGCTCTAGTGTTGAGTGTTGTGCCCCTTCTCCCCAGAGGGCCCTTGAACCGAAAGTTCCACTTCTGGGACTGGCAAACACCCTGAGGCAGTGCAGTTTCTGTGGTTTTTCAGCTCTCTGGATTTAGTTTTACGATGTTTTTTTTATATTTCCTCTAATTTTTTTAAGCTATTTTTCTGTGAGAGGGTTGGTTCAAATAACCTAAACTTCAGTTATTGGAAATAGAAAGCCCAGTATTAATAGTTTCAGATGAGCCAACGTTTGGCTCTGAGAATTCGGAGTTTTAAACTTGGAACCATTATGTAGAGTCAGCATAGACTATTAGGAAGCATTTATGATGACAGTGTGTTGGGGAATGAAATGTCACTTTGTTGGCTTCAGTGTGGTACTCAGTTCAACCACTCATTCATCCAGCAACTATTTGCTGAGTTTCTACTATGTGCCAGGCACTGTGCAGGGTAAGTACCACAGTAAGAAACATGGATGTGCTCTCTGCTTTCAAGGAGCTTCTGGTCAAATGAATTGCTAATGAATAAATTAAGGTCCATATCTAAAACACAGCACCTTTCTAATCTGATAAACAGATTGACTTCTGAAACAGTGGAAACGCTCAGAGTTAGTCCACAAAGACTTCCCAGTCCAAGGAACTTTCGGAAGCCTGGACTAGGACTGCACACTGCGCTGAGAGAATCTCCTTGTAGCATATCACAGTCCTTTTCTGCTTGTAGGAGGGGCTCATGTGCCTGGACCTGACAAACAGGGTTGTGCGTTCATTTCCTTATTCAGCAAACATTTCTGCAGTACATACTATGGGCCAGCTATGAGCTGTGCATTGATTAATAAAAAGGGCACAGTCACAGTATCATTCATATTTGTGTATCTTTGAAACTCTAGTGATTATTCTGATATTAACCTCTACATTTAATCACTGTCTGTCTTGGTGCCTTTGAATCATGGCTGTAGTTACTTTTGGTGTGGGCCATACCCCATGGTTCTGAATCAGTGGATGGCAAACTGTGGAGTGAGTCAGCTTTTTCTGCATCAGGAACCTTGCCCCTAAATTTCTCTCTTTCCTTCAAGGTAATGCCAAGAGGAAGGATGACCAGAGACTCTCAGAGTGATTTTTAATTTTAAGTGACTATTGCAAAGCAAATCAGAATATGTTGTTCAGGAAATTAGCATTTTCAGCGAGATATTGGGTAGAACTTAAAGCCCATTAAAGAGAGCCACTATTTTAACAAATTGGAGAATTGCTGATGTGAGACAATGACATCTTTTTTTTTTTTTTAAAATATATCTTTATTGATTTCAGAGAGAAAGGAGAGGGGGAGAGAGAGAGATAAAAACATCAATGATGAGAGAGTCATTGATCAGCTGCAGCCCACAACCTGGGCATGTGCCCTGACCAGGAATTGAACCCCGATCTCCTGGATCCTAGGTCGATGCTCAACGGCTGAGCCATGCCTGGCTGTGCACAATGACATCTTTATATTAAAGTGATAGNTGAGAGAGT